CCTCAAAGATTTCACACCTTAGAGTCCACAAACACCGATAAAGAAGTGCCTCAGCGTTCTCACAACAATTACCATTCGTACCAGACAAGTTGACCGGTCACAAACTGGTAACAACAACACATATGGCACCAATGCCTTTCCTTAAAGGAGATAACAGACGTCAGAGGAGATCATAAAACGTCACAGAGCAAAAGGTTAGATATCTAGAAGAATTATTCCTTAACAGTCTGTATCATTTGTTCTCTGCACGTTCTCTTATGTTTCATTTGATTCTCTTAGTTCAAAATTAAAAGTCACATGATGTTCATTCACCTTTAGTATTTAAAGTGGACCTATCATGCTATATTATAATAATATAGTGTAGGACCATACCTATATAAGGCATATTTATACTTTTTTTTTTTCAAAATACCAAACAGATCATGCATTTTAGCCATGCCTCATTTCGCTCAATTTGGACTTTTTTACCCCTGTTTTTGCAAGGGCTGATTCTGTGAGAACAGCACCACCTACAGGCCTGGCATATGTACTACAGCGTCTCCAGCGCTTTCAAACGGCAATGGCCGTGGCTGTCTCCTCCTGATTGGTGGAGTTGGCCCAATAGCCGTAGCGCCACTTCTGTGACGTCATAGAAGTGTTCAAATCTGGATCAGTCTGTATCAGATCCGTTGCAGCCCCTTTTTTAGAGATTTGGGTATGGAGGAAAATAGAGAGGGTTGTGTTTTCTGACACTTGGTGAGTTCCCTGGAACACCGGGGACACATATTCATGTATAAAAGACGTACAAAAGTGCATTTTGCATGATAGGTCCCCTTTAAATTAAAACTGTAACAGGTACTATTTGAGTACCAGAATCACTTTTGGCCTGATTGCAAACCACCTCTCCTTATGTGATTATGGGATATTATCATATAAAAGTAGGCTAGTGCTTTATATAACCAGACAGACACTATTATCCACTGACACTGATTTACATCGATTTGGTTGCATTATGAGTAACCAACAAAAGGACATGCACTCACTGCACTCAAAAGCTAACATTTGCCTGTGTGAGATGGTCACAGTGAACTCCTCTGCTCCCTGCTTCGTGAAACCAGAACAATGCGGCTTTTGTGCAGTTGTCGCTGTCCACCTACTGGAAGTGTTTCTGGAGCAGAACAGGTGCATTTTGGGATATTTCAGGCGGACAATAGAGGGAGGTCGCTGCGAACCTAAATGAACATTTCTGTGTGAATATGTGTGTTTTTAAGGATTTTGTTATTATAAAATGTGCTATTTGATATGCTTTTGTTCTGACACCTGAACTTTCAATTTGCTCCCAATGTACTTATTTGCAAGATACACATAAGACTTGAAGCTAAAATAAGAAATATATATATATGTTATGTGGAAAAAATGTATATACAGTATAAACATACAGCTTGAGAGAGCAACAAGAAGAGATGAAGAAACATTCTGGGGTAGAGTAAGTGAATAAATCAACAGTTATTAATTGATTACATTATTGTTTTAACAAAAACATCAAGCATTAAATGGTTCTGACTTCAAAGTTAAGATTTTCTATTTTTCTCCCTTTTTTGTATTATTTTTTACTGATTTTGACTGTTAGTTGGAAAAACCAAGCAATTTCAAGACATCCCACTGGGCTCTGGGACACATTTGCATTTATTTGACTACATTGCCTATAAAAGAAATATTCATATTCTGAGTTTTCCATGTCTTACTGTTTTATAACATTAAATTGAAGAAGATTTAAAGACTTCCGCCGGGTGCACAGACCCCGAGCAGCTTGAGTGGTTTTACAGAGAAGATTGGAGAAAGATTGAAACATCCAGCTGGTGCAGACTTCCACGTCGACACAAGGCTGAAATTGTTGCTAAGGTTTCATAATAGTTTGGAGCAAATTCCTAAACATTATCAGTCTTTATATTCATAATTGATATGTATAATCAGCTTTCACTTTAAGGGTAGTTTATTGTTATCAGGGTAAACTGTATTTCCGGCCTTTTTGCACACGCAACAATGAATCAGCTGATTAAAATAATCAATCAAGAACATGTTTATCATTTCCTGTGTCTTACTTCTTTGTTATGAGTTCTCTGTGTTCCCTGTTTGGTCACTAAGGACAAAGAGAACAGATGCCCAGCATGCCAATCTGTCAATACATTGTTGAGTCTGCTGCTCATCCAAATAGAACCTAGTGCCAGTCCCTCTGTCTCTTTGTTAATAGACGCAGAACATTTGGAACAGCGTGTACCAAAGCCATTATGTGTCGAAATGTGTTTCTGTGCTAATAATAACTAATAATGCACTCATTCTCCTCTCCTTCCTGTTCTCTCTGTTGTAGCCAAGTTCTTGGTGTTTTCCCCCTCACCTCCTTTGATAAAACACAGGCAATGTCTAATTTAAAAGGTTTTAATGAGTGCAAAATGAGGAATGTTACTTGACCAAGATCTAACATGAGGCCTTGTCTGATTGGATTCAAGTTATTCATGATTAGAGGTCAAGATAAAGTTTGATTATGCAGAGCATTTACGTGCTGGAGGAATGTGGTAATGACTCTGACATGAGCAGACTTTTCTGGAAGCTTCTCCAAGAGAAAATGTTCTACATTTGACAAATCTGGTCATTATGTTTTTATAACACAACACTTCCCCCAAGGTGCTATTATATTTCTACCACAATACTTTTCCAATATTGAACTCACCCAATAGACAAGAGCTTCTTCCCACTATTGAAACAAGAGATGCAATACAAAAAAATCAAGCTAACACACACTTGCTTCCAAGTTCCCTGAAGGGTATCATGCTTCATTGTTCAAAAAAGCATTGGATAACTTCATAAACAATGGCAACCTGCATACAATAAAATAAAAACACGATGCTGTGTGAACTGAAGCCTCAGATTACCAGTATGGCATTGTACATTTTGAAAGCAAGAGTGATAAGCAAAGGTAATAAAAAGTTAAATCAATGCATGCATGTTTCACTTCAAACAATGCAGCATGATAACATTTAACAGTGACACTTCAAAACTGAATATTTTATGCAGTTTTACAAAGATTTATGATTCACATCCAAACTGTGGAATGTATACCAACTGTGATGGAGTGAAAAAGACAAGCTGTTCTGCAATGTTTTTCAAAAGCCTGTACCAAATGTCCCCAGGCTGCAGTGAATCAGATTCTGTTCGCAGGGTTATTTTCTCTGAGGTACAGAAATGGTGCATTATTCATTCCCCTCTTTTTTCTGAACAACAGGAAGTCATGAAGGCAGCCTCGTTTACTGGAAACATTTTCTGAGCTCGGTTTTTTTCCTTTTTTTCTCTATGTTTGTCTGCCTGTGTGTAGTGCACGTGCGCCCTCATAGAAATCAAGACAACCCCCCTCACTTCTGATCTGAACCACTGAGCAGAGAAGGTCCTCTGAGGTTCACCTGCTGGCTGATGAAAAACCGTGCTGTGGATACAAAAGTCCTGTCAACTCAATCCAAACATGGAGGCAATCACACACTGGATGAGAGAGATTAAAACTTCATATAAACAGAGTGAATTCTCCCACCTTTGCTTTTCACCTGAAGCCTCCTGTCAACACATAAACTGACCTGCACAGCCTGAAAAGGAAGATAAAACAGATGTTATCTCATCAACAAGACTCAGCAGATGTACAGAAGCTGTTATCAAACCTATTTTTGTTGCTGGGTGACAATGAAAGTTTATCATATGTTAGTTTTTACAGTGAAGACATTATCCACGTCCATCAGAAAGCACATAAGGACATTAAAAGCAGTAGAGTCAGGAAAAGAGCAGCTTCAACCACAGTGCCCCATTAACACAGACTATAATGAAATGTAAATGAAGTCTGGGTCTGTTCTGTATAAATAAGCTTCCACCCTATGTAATTGTTTCCCTGCCAATCAGAAGTATTCATACATTCCCTGCGAGAAAACGTCAATCAACAAATGTCTAAATAAACCAGTGGCGCATATCAAACGTCTGATGAACAATGAAACGTTCCCATCCTCCACGGCTCAAACTGGCAACCCTGTTATTCTGTTGTTTGTTTTTCTGTGAATAGTTTTTATCTCTCTCTGCTTTCCCGTTCCTTTTGAAGTATGTTAATCATAATTATTTGTTGTTTTCCTTTCTTTTAGTTCACATGTAAATTCTAAGGAGATAATTGCAAGGAGATTGTTGTGAAATCACTAACAAAGACAGTGATGAATGAGAGTGTCCTGAGGGCCCTGGGACCCCTGCAGATGGGACACTTACTTTATGGTCAGCTAATTGGTGGTTTGAGTGCAGAATACCTGCAAATTGATTAATTAGTTATTTAGTCTACAAAATGTCAAGAATGATGACAAGTGCCCAACAGTTTTATTGATTAGATTGTCTTTTGCTTGGGAATTTACAATATACAAAATATACAAGTGCAATAAGTATTAGCACATTCCTTCTTTTACAAACAATTGTTGTTTTTTTCAAAAGCAAAAAGGTTCTAAGGAGAAAAGCAACCAATTTAGATTATAGGGAGCGAAGGACTCAAACTGTCTTTTGACTCATCTATCTTTATAAGTTTAGAACTGTTTGATTAAAATGATATTAAATGTTTATTCATAATTAATTTGAAGACAAAACCTTGGCTCAAACCACAGGATAGTTACATTTTTCAGTATTTTCTGAAATGTATAAACTAAATAATCTATGTATTTATAACATGATCAATTGTAAAGAATACGTAATTGATAACTTTATATCTTTACAGAACATCTTGCATTACAACAGCCTACACAATCTCTTTAAACCTAGCTCAGAAATGAACTACAATTCCCTCACACCATTGCGTCAAACCCTTGCTGCTGATTGGTTGCAGCTCATCCAAACAAAGTCTGGTTGTGGTGTTGTGATCCTGTCAATCAAACCCAGTACATCTGAACCAATCAGCTCCGGATTTCAGCTCGTGTGGGCGGGGCTACCGCTTCCTTACACACATCACGCTTGTTTGCTGCTCGTTGCTAACAACCTGCTGCCTGCAACTTCGTCTGTCCACCATCCACCCATGCATTAACGGGTTCCAGGTGTTTATGGGATGTGTGTGAGGATGAATCCGTGTCTCTGAGGTTCAGCTCCGTGCTGCTGCATGCTGCTCTGCGTCTCTCTCTCTTTCTGACGCTTGGGGTTGCAGTCTGGCCTCCAGCCGGGGCTGCGATTTAACTTAATTTCTCAGCGTCGCCTTGCTCTCAAATCATGTTTATTTTATAAAGATGGCGGCGAGGGGCACACTGTAAACTAAATGACTGTCAGAAACATCGCCTCCATTTGTAATATGGTGAGTACCTTGCTGGTTATGTGTGTTGCTATCGATTTGCCTGCAGCCACTGTGTTCCTGGTGTGTAATGATGTTCATGGGTTAGTCACCCCCCCCCCTGCAGTCACACACAATGTGCAGGGGGGAGATGCACATGCATGTAACAGATACTAGGATTCAGAGTTTTATCAGGTGTCGGTGCTCAGACGGGCCTGCATCCCATCCTTCATATTCATTTTGGAGAGCTTTACACACTGCTGCTTCGTTGTTTTTGCATCCTGCTGAGAGACAATGTAGATTTGCAAAGCTGTCAGCGATGATTGACAGGCGAATGAAGCATTGCTCTGCCTTTGACAGCTTGTTGTGATTGCATAACGTGTTGCGGCTGCAGAGAGCTGCTGACATCCAGTTAGCAGAGAGCCGACCCTTCATTGAGACTAGGGATACTAATGTCAGGAGCCTGCAGTGCTGCCCTGCATTAATGGCCCCCACTACAAAGAGTTAATACCCAGCATCCCAAGCACAACAAGTTTTATATATTTGGGTTTATTGTGAGTTTAACAGACACATTGGTAAAGATATTCCTCCTGAAGAAGTGTTACAGCACTGCTAAACACAAGTGAATGTTGAATTAACTGTGTGGATAGTTGTCGTATTAACAGTTAATATAAGTGGTACTGTACTGTAAGTGAAAGGATGCAGCTTGTGTCCCCTACACTACAGCCAGTGTTTTGTTGTACAATAAGTTAGCTTCTGTTAGTGGTAGGGCTGAGTTGTATACTTAAGATCATACATATAATCTTCTAGTTAGGAGGACTGTAACTGCTTTATTCTATGATTTAATCAAATAAATGTGCTGTTTACAAAATGACAGACTTGTAATAGTTTCCCACACCACAAGATGATGTATAATTTGGTTTTGTACCATTTATGACAAAGAAAATAATCCAATCTTGGTCATTATCTTGGTTTTTGTTCTTATTGAAAATGCTCATTAGTTTAAATGAGACCAAGAAACCTCTTTAAATTGTTTTTGACCCAACTAACAGTCCCGAAACCCATAAATATTTAGTTCACCATCGTAGACAACTGAAAAGAAAAAAAAGACATTTAAAACTGATGTATTAGTGGTTTGAACTCTAGCTATATTTGTATTTCTCTTCATAACAAACCTTCAATAACTATCATTGGATATGCCGTTACATTGTTTAATATCGCAATAATAATATCTCTTGCACTCAATAAACACGTAGTACTGAGTAACCAGTTCCTTTATTGCAGTCTTTAGTACACTGCTAAAGTACAATAAACTGCTTATTGACTAAAATGTTTTTTTCTCCCACATTCTTTTATTGAATTATTTGAGCGTAAAAGGCACAAATAAAAAGAATCATGGTTATATTTTGAATATAAGAAATGTAGTTTTCTGCTTATAGTCTGTTTATCCAACTCTAAAACCCCTGAGTGCAAACACAATTATTCCATTGTCATGTATTACTTTGACTATTTGAATTATGGTCCACTTGGGTTGCATTACCACTATTTCTCTCCAGATATGTAATATAAAGGTCATGTTGTTTGCATTATAAAACGTCCCACAAGGAAAGAGCCAGTTTGTATGGGTACAGTACATGGACTTGTTTTCAGCCTCCAAGTGGTAAATCAGACAAAGAGGTATTCACTGTCCGCTTTGACAGGGAGAAATGAAAGTCATTGAAAGTCAAAGCCGTCCCCAAACTAAATTGTCTTCTGTGTTCGCAAAACAAAGCTTTGGTTCATTTGGAAAAGCTTTGAGCTCTGACAAGTGAAAAGGCTCCGACCAGAGATAAGTGGTGAGCCTCCGCAATCAGGGGTTGTATATTCTTGACCTTTCACATGGGTCTACCTAATTAGGACATATCCTTTTTCTACTTTGACAGGAAGGTTTTGAGAAAAGGCATCGAGATGAAGAAACTGATACAGTGAAATTTGGCAAAGAGGATAATTTTATCAATTATGCTGCATGAAAGAGAGGCCTCTATTGTTGTTTTACCTCTTAGTTTTAAACCCTCAGTTACCAAGTTGGTGCTTGTTGACTTCCCAACATTTACATATTCATTTGGCTGTATGTACATAGACTACATTAAACAAATCAGGCTTTCATTCTGGCCTCGTTACTTTCCATATGAACTGAATGATAAGAGCGATGATGGTGTTGAAGAACTGATAACAAAAACACCCTCATGTTTTCATGTCTTATGTTTTGTCTTTCAGGGCACCAATGCCTCTGCTCTGGAGAAAGACATCGGCCCAGAGCAGTTCCCAATCAATGAACACTACTTCGGATTGGTCAATGTGAGTGTCACTAAAGCCTCTCATACATTAACAAAGGGCTTTGCCAGAAAACATTGGTGTCATTTTTCAAAACAAACTGCCACAGGACTTCAGTGAGTCATGTCCTCTACTGGATAGTGAGCAGTGAAGGTGAGGGTGTTGTTTATGAGCCTGTTGCCCAACATAGGGATGTTCTGTATCTGTAATATCACATTCATGTAAACACACACTTTTCTCAACACCTTACATGTCCGCCAAGTTGTTAAAAACATTTGACCAATTGGGTATTTTTCCACCAGCTAGTTCAAACAATAATCTAAAAGAAAAACTTACCTTTTGGTCCTCATCTTTGAATGTGTCTGCTCTTTCCTTCCTACAGTTTGGAAACACATGTTACTGTAACTCAGTGCTACAGGCTCTCTACTTCTGCCGGCCTTTCCGGGAGAACGTGCTGTCTTACAAAGCCCAGCAGAAGAAGAAGGAGAACCTGCTCACATGCCTGGCTGACCTCTTCCACTCTATTGCCACGCAGAAGAAGAAAGTGGGCGTCATCCCGCCCAAGAAGTTCATCTCCCGCCTACGGAAAGAGAACGGTGAGAGCCCAGATGATGTAAAGGAAATCTTATAGGAACTGAAAACCTAATAAAATGTTTTTTTACTAAGCCTTATGTCGACACCATCTTCACACAGGTGGTAGCAATAAATAGGCCTTACATATATACATTTAAAGAAGGTGCAACTTTATGATATGCAGTATAGTGAAAGATTAAATCGTAAAAAGAAATGACATGGACGAGGAAAAAGGGGTTTACAGTCAAAAAGGTGGATAAGAAAATGATGACTAGAACATTTAGAACATTTTACTATTAGATTTTTGGATTAAGCCATAAAATCAGATGTTATATTTAGTAGGAATTTACTAAGTGAATCCCTTGATTTAACACTTAGAAAATTACTACAATGCACATTTTAACTGCTTCTTTTTTTTTAACTATGAAAGGCAGAAAAAGCAAAGGTGAAACTAATAACACTAACATTTACACATTTACATAACCCAAGTTAATAGATGTTGCAAACAAAAACCCAGGATCAGAGGAAAATCTGCACTCTTGTATGCATGTTCATAACCAAACAGAGGGGGGGGTTTGTGGTGGTGCATTGTATGTTGGTAGCAGTGCTGGCTTTAGTGTATTCTGAATATTTGAGGTGAAGGGCATGTGCATGTTGGAGGTAAGGTCATTCAGAGAGCGGAGCTGACAGAGAGGCTGACTGTTCTCTGCTGTCTATATTGAGGAAGTTCTTTGTGAATGAACAATGAAATCTCTGTTCAGACCCAGCTTCGGTCAGCTGCCTCTTCTCTGGACTTTTTTTCTTCTGCTTTCTCTCTCCCCGACTCCGACTCCCCACTTCTCAGCTTTCCCCTTTCACATTCAGATCTGTCAAAACAGAAGTGTGTGTGGATGTACTGTGATACTGGATTATTACAGTAAAAATCTATAACAGAATTTATTTTAAATAATTATTTTACATTTTGTTGTTTTTAATAATTAATCAAGAACACTATTTCCTTAATACTTTAAAGATCTCCTATCATGCTATTTTTATGCATATATTATGGGTCTCAGATATATGCAAATATATAAAAAACATGTCAATGATTTGTTTTGCTCAAAATACCAAACAGATCACCCCTTCTAGCCATGCCTCATACCCCTCTATTTCAGCCCTGTTATGGCACTTTTCCACTGCAGGACCTCTCAAGGCTTAGTATGGTATGGTTAGGCCTTGGTAGGCCAGGCTCACTTTATGCTGCGTTTCCATTACAGTTTAGTTACTGGGGTAGTAACTATAGTAACGCAGTGTAGGCGGGGCGATCGGCGGGGCGGAGCAACACTGCATAAAACTGCCGTGACGTCATCTTCAATGCAAACCACAAAACCAAAACATCAGCCGTTAGCTGTTAGCACTCAGAGCTCACAGCTCCTCATATCTGTTCAGAAACTAGACAAAAGTTAAACAAGTACAAACCACAGACTGTCTGTGTCATGACGAATACAGTCGCTGGTTTATTTATGTCTGTAGGCCGTTGTTGTGAGTGTGGACGGAGCATATACATCTGGCTGCTACTTAGAAATTATTTATCTATTTACCTAATATATCATATTCCAATAACTTGCATATAGACTCTTATTGCACTATTTCACTATTTCACTTTTTTAAACTATTTTTCTTTTTGTATTTACTATTTACTTGCACTATATTTTTCTGTTTATCTGTGTTTTGTGTTGCACTGTTGGAGAAGCCTGTGACCTAAGATTTTCATCGGCATAACTACACTGTAGCTATGTTCGTATGACTAAATAAAGAACCTTGAACCGTTGTTAGCTTAGCCTGATCGATCCGATCTGCACACACGCATTTTAAAAGATGTTTCGCCTGCCGTCTTGTCTGTAGACTTGTCAAAGCATTAATTCATGGTTTTTACTAACCGGTATCAGTATGTTGTTACTTCGGCATCATTTTGAAACGTGTATTACAATTAAATCACGGTAAAATATGTTCATTTTGTTGTAGTTGTAGCCCCCTTGCCAGCGATTCAGCGAGCAGTCGAGAGTGTTTGCGTCACTAGTTTAGCATATTCAGCCCGGTTGTTGGCCCGGTAAGAACCTCGATTTTGGAGGGCCAGAAAAAAGGTGAAAAAGTAGCCCTGAGCCGGAACTACCCCTAGTGGAAAAGCAAAAAGCAATACAAACCCGGCCCGCTTAAACCGTGCTACGTGCTGCAGTGGAAAAGCGCCATTAGAGAAGTGCTGATTCTGGTTCCTTAGCTTTAAAGGTTCCCTGACACACCGGGGACACATATTTATGTATAAAAGACATCAAAACGTGCTTTTTGCATGATAGGAGACCTTTAATAATTTAAATAATTCTTAGTTGCATCCCCACATTAATATAAACATTGGACTCAGTATGGGCAGATAATCAATATTAAATGGCTGGAAACATGATCAATGGCCAAAAAAGTTGCCTGGGACATCCCCATTATTTTTCTATTAATTATCTCCATTAATTGAATCTCCCTGCAGATCTGTTTGACAACTACATGCAACAGGATGCCCACGAATTCCTCAACTACCTGCTGAACACCGTGGCCGACATACTGCAAGAGGAGAAGAAGCAGGAGAAGCAGAACGGGCGCCTCAAGAACAACGGCACCCCCGTCACCACAGAGACAGACACGGAGAACAAGACGGAGCCCACGTGGGTTCACGATATCTTCCAGGGCACGCTGACCAATGAGACGCGCTGCCTCAACTGTGAAACGGTGTGTGGCTCTGCTCTGTTTGTCCATTGAGCTCTCTTGGAGGGGTAGAATATTTAATATTGTCCCTGTGTCACACTGAATTAAGGACCTCTCCTGAATAAGTCTTGAACAGGGATTAACCCTTGTCTTTTACAGAAATGAGGGAGTCATCACATCCGGTGGGCTCCGGCCACACGCTCTACGTCAGGGCTGGCGTAGGCTTTGTCCTCTGGGTTTTATAGGCAAAGAGTGGGACGGGTTGCCCTGAACAACCCTCTGCAAACACCAAGGCACTGCAGTGCTCCGAGACAAAAGCTACTCAGTACAATCAGCATTTCAAAGACTGTTTGTGTGTATTTGCGTGGGCGGGTGGGTGATGTGTTGCAGGACTTCAGGCTTATCCTCACTGATCCTGTCAAAAAGGATGACAGTGTAGTTACCTCAGTGTCTCTCTCTGTTTGACAGGTGAGCAGCAAAGATGAAGATTTTCTGGATCTTTCTGTGGATGTGGAGCAGAACACATCCATAACACACTGTCTCAGGTAGCGTTGATTTATTATACATTTAGTCACAGTTAAACGGGATGACCGTAGACCACATTCCCTTTTGGTCTGAATAAGATTGAATAACCAAGCCTCCTGTGGCATGCTCCCCCCTTTTAGGGACTTCAGTAACACAGAGACTTTGTGCAGTGAATACAAATACTACTGTGAGGCGTGCTGCAGCAAGCAGGAAGCACAGAAGCGGTCAGTAAAGCACTGAGATGAATTACCACTGTGATGTGTGATGGTACCCTTCTCTGAGCATGTATGTTTCTCTGCAGGATGCGTGTGAAGAAGCTTCCTATGATCCTAGCCCTGCACCTGAAGAGGTTTAAGTACATGGAGCAGCTGCACCGCTACACCAAGCTGTCCTATCGAGTAGTGTTCCCCCTAGAGCTCCGTCTGTTCAATACATCGGGGGATGCGGTTAACCTGGATCGCATGTACGATCTAGTGGCTGTGGTGGTTCACTGTGGCAGGTACAGTATACTAATTATCACATGTAAAGTGTTGAGATGCAACAAAGCTTGCTCCCTCAAGCTTTTGCAGTCTCAATTCTGTTGATCTCCATAAGAAAATGGTTTTAGCTGATGGTACTCTCTCTAATAAGCAGGGGTAATAAATGTGTAGTTGTATATGATCTCTTTATTCTATATAATTAAAAGGGACGCACATCCTCCTTCCATAACCCGTAACACAAGTTTGGAATCACATCACAAAATTGTGAACATGATTAAATGCTCAAGTTGAATATGTATTCTGCATTCCAAAATAAGGACAATTATTCATATAAAAAACTAAGAATGCTTTGAAGTAACATATATTTACTTGAAATCCGAATTAAACAACATTGAATATATTTGTGTGAAGTCCGATGTATTTCAAAGTGAGAGTTTTGAGATTGCACTCAGTGTACACATCAGAGACTCACTGTTTTGTCTTTGTTTCCTCAGTGGTCCAAACAGAGGTCATTACATCACCATAGTGAAGAGTCATGGCTTCTGGCTGCTGTTTGACGATGACATTGTGGAGGTGCGTCACTCTCACTCTCAGCATGTTATGTTCTGCTGCAATGGTCCTTGACTCATCTGTTTGTTCATTTGCTATTGTTCTTTGTTATCACTTACCAGCATCTTACTTACTGTGTTGTGCAGAAAATTGATGCCCAGGCCATTGAAGAGTTTTACGGGCTTACCTCAGACATCTCCAAGAACTCAGAGTCGGGATATATCCTCTTCTACCAGTCCAGAGAGTGACTGGAGCTGCATCAGTGACACAGGAGAGACTAAATAGGATTTTTTTTTAACCTTCAGCCTAACAGACTCAGACTCCCACCATCCCCATTCTCCAAGTCTGACCTCTCTGATGTACGGGCCAATCCTCTGTCCCACCCCCATCCTCTGGGTTTTACTGCACTTCATCCTTCTCTCTCTCTCCCTGTAATTAGCTTCTTGCCTTTTAGTCACCTGCATCTGGACTGCACTTTAAAACCAAAGCAAAAATGCTTAACAGCACGACGGAAACAAAATGGATTCTACGTCCACATTGAGCTCCAGATGCTCAGTGAAGATTTGCAAAGGTGATTCTCCATCAGGAACATGATGGGGTGAAGGGTCAGGCTGTCAAAAATGGTGCTATATCATTTCTATGTATATAAGGTCTTCATGTGTCACCCACACACTGTTATTCCTTTAATATGGGCTATTTTTCCCATCACTGTCTAGTTCTTTGTTTAGCTTTATGTCCATGGTTGATGCATGTAAAGCGAATGAAGTTGGAGACAAACACTGTTTAATGCTCATGGAGAGGTTTCATGCATTATTAATGGCTTTGAAGCAATATCTGAGCATTAATTAGATAGAACTCAAAAGCTAAACTCCAGGTGTAAATGCTGATAATGAAGAGGCCCAATATAGAATCATGTTGTGAGCTTTTTCCTGCTGTTGCAACTCCACAATTAACATAAAATTCACCTGAGCCAAATCCTCCTACACTACACAAGAAAGGAAATCTGTTTCTCTGTCAGACTGGTCCACATTGAAGTCAGCTGAATCTTTATAATTTTTATTCTGAACAAAAAGTCATATTTATTCTATTGTACTTATTTATTACTGTTATTTGTAATGCAGAAAGGTAGTTAACGAAGGTATCTGTGTAATATTGCTCCTCTGAAGACCCTTAGTCTAAACTCTCAATTTGAAGGACATGGTGTATGTAAGACACAACTTTTATAGGACTGCACCAAAAACAATTTGGTTTCATCAGTTTGCATGGTAAACACAAATATGAGAAGTATAAGGTGAGAAACAACCCAGAACTGCCCAATCTTTTGATTGACAGGAAATATTGAAAACAGTGCAATAAGAGGTGAGGTTACCCAATGTGGAAGTTCCCAGTGAAACTGATATTAATGAAATGTAAATGTTAGTAGTAGATGTGTTTCTTAGCCGCTGATTATTTTCCAGTGCTGTGTGTTTATGTGCTTTTTGATATCAAAGTAAATTCGCCCCTTCACCACGTGAAATGCACACTACCTGCAGGGATGTTCTTTCATCCCTTTGTTTTTGTATTCTTCTTCAAAAATGTCTTATTTTCTCTTTTCATGTCACATGTTGAACTACAGCTTAGTAGTTCTGTCTTGGTTGGTCTCTGACTGATTGTGTCGGTCATATGTAGTACATTTCAATCCTAAACTGCATAGAAGTCAAATTCAATAGTGTTGATTCATTTGATATCCTTTGTATTGTCGATGTTTTTTCTCAGTGGTCCAGGGTTTATACCCTGTAGTGACATCAAACAACTTGTTTTCATATGAGTTACATTCCTATTTGCTGCACATAAGCAGAATTACCATTTCATATCCATATCATTTTAAATTAGAGTTAGGAAAGGATTTGTTTGCTAGTTTAGTGTCCGCCTGTTCAGGTGAGCCAGAATTTAAAGTGAAAGTGGTGAAACTGGGTGTTGAATGCGCTTGTTTCTTCTGTCTCTTCCATTTAGTCTGTTATTGGGTGATATCACAAACATGTGCCAAACTGGAGTCGATACTGACCTTGCAGTCTTTGGCAAAGCATTATTTTCTTTGTAAAGATACAACTGTACATATATATTATGTAGAAAATACTTCTGAAAATAGGAAAATATTTTTTTAAAGTGAAGATCTTAAAATGTAAAGACACTCAAGATGTAAGCTTGACGCTGGCCATCATTGAAACCCTGTTAGGAACTACTGTGCTATTTTACAATCACTCGATTGCATAATCATATTTGTGAAGAAGTCACCTTTCTTATTATTACTTTTTCTTGGTTGAACTGTGCCCAGATGGGAAATGGTAGCAGGTATAGTCTTGACACATTTTTAGACCCGGGTGAGAGGAAAGAGAATTGCTGATCTTCCATTAACACTTATGCACTCGTCCTCACTGAGACGTTCAGTCATTGCACTTGGTCTGACATATTTTACTGTGGTAGTGTTCTGCCGAGGAGAGCTCTGGCGCAGAGAGTCCTGCATCAGGTGGAATATGATTGAGCTCATGGGAAGGGAAAGAGGATATGAATTGGAGTCTCCATTTGGTTGTAAACTGAAAGTGCACTTTATTAGCGATGAGCTACAATGCTTTAACATGAAACACATTTTAACACAATAGTTTTGAGTTTGTTTTTTTCTTCTGTTCAATAAATGAACTCAAATGACTTGCTGGAGTGTTTTTTATTTATTTACCTGCTGCTATGAACCCTGAATACAACTGTTTCAGACACAATTCAATACATTTAGCCTAGTAATGGCAATCTCTAAACTACTGCGGTCCAGCCTGAAATATTTCAACAACTGTTGTACAATTTCTACAAACTTTAATAGTTCCATACTAATCCTTTGGTGATTATTTGGCTGTGCTCTTGCACCACCACAATGTAAAAAGTGTATCGTAAAACTGTATACAATTTCTGTCAGACTTAGCATGCGCAAAGTGCAATACCTGCCATTATACATGACCAATAACCATAATATAACAGATTTATCTAGGTTGGAAAATTTGGATAATTATTATATAGCCCCAGTACAAAAGTAAGGCATTTAAACAAGTTAATTATAACGTTGGATGAAAAATCCATCAAGATAATCAAACCGAAATGAAAAAAAGTTAAAAAAATATATATGTTTATTGAGACAAATGAACAAGAAAGGTTATAAAATAGTTGAATACAAGTGAACAGTTCTAAACAATACTAAAGGCAAAAAGTTGGGCAAACTGGGGTAATACAAATAAACAGATTGCCCTTTAGTAACTGTACTAAAGGGCAATCTGTTTATTTTTGCTCTATTTTGTTTGATTGGTTGCTTTAGCATCAGTCAGTGACACCTGTGCTAATTGTACGGTAGCTCAGAACGAAAGAGGGCAAGAGAAAGAAACAACGGAAGAGAGGGAAGAGTCTCGACGAATAGCAGAAAATGTTAGCCGGGTGACTGTTTAACTAAAACTAAAGAAAACTGAAAGCAACAACTTACATTTTTCATTTAATATCAGTTCGTTAAGTGTGTCTGTGCTAACTGCTAAGCTAACGTTGGCTAGTCGCTAGATCAGAGGGGGTCATCCCTATGTTCCCACAGCCCAATGGTCCCACATTTATAATATTGTATAGGTGGCGCTATTGTGGAGTGCACTGTATAAATATATACTCTAACTTTTATAATATTAAATATTTACATATTTATGTTAGCATTTCACTTCTGGCGATTTATGATTCGAAAATGATAAAAGTAGGGTAGACATGTGGAGATTATCCGGCTGAACAAAACAGATTAGGGTTACGGTAGGATTAGGGTTAGGCCCCCCCCCCCCCCCCCCATGGAACATAGGGCCTAATTTTGAAGAAGAAACAAAATATTAGAAATGTGGGCTGTGGGACTATTGGGCCGTGGGACCATCGGGCTGTGGGAACATAGACACGCTCCCGATCAGAGCACGCCATTGCTACCCGGAAGTGACCGTTGTTGTGTGTTTTGGGGCTTTTGTCTAGTACTTCATCCAAGCTGCTGTCTGGTTTGATCTTTTGGACTACAACTTCTCCAGGACTGATGCAGGACTGTAAGTTTGACTTTGTGTGCTTATGCTCTGCCAAGGATAAATATTATCTTGGCTGCAGTGAACTTGTTGTTGCAGACTTGTAACCTTTGTGTTTGCGTTAGAGAAAGTATTTGAACACAGTTTGCCAAAGGGAAATAGTAGTTAAAGTGGTGAGAAATAGATATTTTGTCAAAGGAATCAAAGAAGGGCTGAACTTGTGTTATATTTTTTTCTAAAAGACAATTCCATTGAGAATGTTGTTTTCCGGTACTCAAAACATTGGTCCCTGAAGACTCAGAGCATTCATATTTTATCGCAGTTTTTAAGAAAGAATATAAAAACAAACATTACCAGAACTTTGTATCCCTTCTGCAGCATCCAAGTCTGTCCATATGACATATGAGTTTGTTTTGGTTTTCACTGAAAATTAGACAACATGTCCATCTTTACAGCTATCAGCTTTGTGTCCCCTGAAACCTCAGCTAATCCCCCAGGTCTGGCACAGTCTTTACTCGGTGTTGATACACTTTTCTGTCCTCTTCCTCGCTTTCTACCCTATGTCTGCCCTCACTCAGCCATCCATCGAGGAAGAGCAGGAGACAATTTGAGTATTAATGAGTGGTGTCATAAGTCACACATCTGAGGCAAAATTGCAATTAACTGCTTCCTAATTAAAGAATGAATATCATCCGGCAATTGGCAATAGTATTAAAGTTTTATTTTATTTTAAAATTACCTGTGTGACTCCTGAATAAACAGGTACAGATACAAAATGAACCACTATATGCCCTTAGAAGCATACACAGCTGTACACAGTATGTATGTAGTTTAGTATATTTATTTAAAGATGCTTAAATAGTTTAAAGTATATGTTAGCCTCCCAGATATCGCTTATAGGTGCTTGCACTGTCTGACATCAGAAGCAATTATAATTTAATATAAATATCGGAGACTTTATCACAATATTTGTCAGTATGGAGTTCCAGGGTCTAAACTGTTATTTAGTACGGTCAGAGGCACAACAAGGCCAGGGTTCGTTGAGGGTGTTTGTCTTTTCCGTTAATTTGTATTAAGATTTAGAAATGAAGTCACAGTGAAATCCACAGGTGGTCCCGGACATGATTCTGCCCTCTCATTCTGTTTCTATGGAAAGATCTGCAGGCACTTCTCAGAAACACATCATCTCCCACAGAGAGCTGTTCAGAAAGATGAACTCACCCCAGGGACAAACACAAACACACACAAACACACACTTTCAGCCAAACCCTGACAGTGTCCTGGTTATCAGTACATTTAGGGATAGCAACTTCTTTCCCAGAAACTAATGATATGATGCCTGTCAGTGACATCAGTGCATCAAATACCTATTATGAACACAACCATGAGACAATGTGTAATTTTGAAATGTGTCAGTTTTATTTTTGTACAAGGTCAATTCTGGATAAAAACAAAGTAACCAGCAGATTTTCAAATCATTGTCTCAACCTTTATATTGTGTCTTCTCAATCCTAGTTTGGGAACAAACTTTAAAAGATTTAAAGTACCATAATGGCTTTATATTCTTTTTTTGTGCAATCTGACTCGTATACATTTGTCTTTTGTTGTTTGTGTCATTGTTTGATATCACGATTTTCCCTTTATCTCGTGTCTGTTTGGTTGTAAATGTTTTGGAGGCTGTGCAGATGGGCTGCAAATGGACTGGAATGATGGATTGCATAGCTTGCTTTTAAACTAAAACATCAAAGTATATAAACAAGAACCTTTTTTTTCAGAGCATATCAGTGAGCAGAGGTTACAGTAATCGCCCATATATGCACCTCAGTTCCAGAGAATTGAAGAGCGTACACAAACGACTTATCATTTTGTACTAAAAAGAACCTTGACTCATGGCTATTTCAGTGACAGCTGTATCGGAAAATAACAAAATAAACCTGTTGTTTTTCACTAATTATCAGAGCAGTGCTCTAAAAATAGATGTTGGAAGTGAATTCCTTTTAAGTCCCCAGAGAGAGGAGGGCTTCGTAACTTCCAGTTAGTCTGTCTGCTAGACTTCCATTCGCAAATACAAAACCAGGTGTACTGGTGTCACTCAATCCCTTGGAAAGCTCACAAAAGACATTACATAGCATTAGTACTTGTGTTAAACACAATGTGTCAGTGCCAAACAGATACAGCATTTACAGATGTAATCTAGTTTCAGCTCCAATCATCACAAACAAAAAAACAAATGTATTTTATTAGTTGAGTTATAGAGTGCAGATATCTGACTTCCCTGTGTATACAGTTAACCTGCATTGAGTGTTAGATACCTTCTTTACTGACTTGGAAGGAAAAGTAGTTCAAGATCAACAGTGTTCAGTGGTGAATGTCTGACACTTCACTGTCTGCGTGTTGATGTAAGTGTGTCTGAAGTGTCAGGGTGGGCTGTGTTCGATAAGAGGAAGATGTAAAATAGTGCAATTCTGATAAGTTAAAGGTTGATAAACAGTGGTAAAGAGAGTTGGATCTTTTTGAGCGTCTAAACTAATTTAAAGTACATTGTGGTAATTTTTGTATAGGCTTATTTTCTTGTCTACTTAGCCTCAATACTGCTGGGCAGAGAACAAAATTGCCTTTTTTTTAAGCTCATACCAGTGAAAAAAACTGGGATTTACCATCTACAAACAAATCCACAGCTCAGATCTGAACATAATAAACAATTTCCTTTTTTCAATTTTGGTTTATTATGTTCTAACTGTGAGCAGCTATGTCTTCTTGTCTCCATGTTGTGAGAATGTGAGCTATAAAACTGTTGTGCTGCATTTGTGTCTGATCGGAGACACGTTAGCGCTAGCTTGCTGTCACGTGCGATTGTCACATTTGTCGTCATTCCACAGCAAACTATTGAACATGTGCTGGCAATAAAAAAGACAAGGTCAGGATGCTCAAAGTGGCAATGAGACTCTTATTTCCCGTTCATTTTTACAGGATGTTGTCTTTAACACTTACAGTTATGAATCATTATTTATTCGTTCCCTCCTTATTATAAAATACTTGGATATTCTCAACATGTATACGTGATTCAGAGTGTTCATGCTCAGATTATATCAAGTGTTTTTCTCATCCTGAAATAATATTTTACTTCTCCAGCTCCAGTTTGAAATGAAGAGACATAAAATATTCCATGAAAATACAATTTTTATAATAATTTGTCTATATTCACTTTATGCATTGAACACGGAAAGAGCAGTTTTCCTATTATTTTTTTGATCAACACAAAATCTGCTTTGGCTTCTCAAAAGAATGGAACACAGCCCTCCTACAAGTCTTACTCTCTAGAACATATTTATCTATCTGTCCCCTCTTGGGGATTGGGCAACAAAGAGAGGCATTTGTTAGGAGCACTTGTCTCAGCACTGTGTTGGTTCAGGGCCCCGGGCAGACAGGCAGCATATCATAGGAGATCAGCTGGATAATGTTTGTCCCACTACTTGGCAAGTTCACATGTGTGGAAAAGGCTCCCGACAAGCTTATTCATGGAGGGGAGCTTACTGTAAGCATTGCATTTACAGTGGTGGAAAGTCATGTTACCTTACTACTGTATACGTTCATTTTTTAAGAAACTTCTACTTATTTTTGCTCTTCTTCT